CCATTTTTTAACAGTAATAATATGGGTAGTTTGCTTGCGAAGAATATAAAGTTGACGAGAAAAATAAGCTTCATCAAATTTATCAATATCATTTAAAGAATTGTTTGAAGAAGAATCAGGATCATAACTCGCCAAAGTAACGAAAGGTTGTAAAATGATGGGTTCACGAGATTTAGCAGCAGGACCGAGAATGGAATCATTTTTCGGGACTTCACGCCAACCCAAAACTTTCAGGCTTAAACTTTTTGCGGTTTGCTCAAAAATCAGTTTACATTCTTCGGTAACAGCATGTTCAGGTTTAAAGAACACGTTACCAACAGCGTATTGACCTTGAGGCGGTAAATGGATACCCAACCTAGTAGTTTCCTGATGGAAAAACTCGTGGGGAATTCCGGTCATGACACCAGCGCCATCACCGTCTCTAGCATCAGAACCTACGGCACCCCTATGAGTCATGTTACAGAGAACATTTCTGGCATCACTAAGGATTTTGTGAGAGGGAGCGCCTCTGATGTGAACGATAAAACCGACACCACAAGAATCTTTTTCATAATCGGGATCATAAAGACCTTGTTTTTGAGGAAGGGCATCGGCCCAAGAGGTGTTATTAGAATCAAGAAATAAGAAATCTTTTTGACTATTATACGCCGATTGATCGTTTTGTTGATTATAATGATTTACAGATTCGACAATAGATACCATAATTAATTACAAAGACCAAATTAATAAAAAAAAATTAATTGTAGACGTTCTTGATAATGATGGAGAGTGATAAAAGGAAGGAAAAGACGAAAACAAGAAAAAAAAAAATTGATAAAAAAAATTTAAAGAAAAAAGGAAGATTACTTATATATCTATAAATTTGAGTAGGAGCACGTTTATCGTATATATATGTATATATATATATATAAATATATGTATATATATACAAATATTTTTTTTTTTTTTTTACAAATGATTAGTAACTTACAAAGAAATTATTATTATCAATTGACAAGGGAATTAATATATATTGTCTATGCGCGTAAGACAAGTAAATGAATTGATACAATCTATAATGATAATTATTTTAATTCTTTTACGAAATTCTAAAATCCAAAGAATTCAAGAATCTCAAGAAAAAAAAACAGAGGTACCTTAAATCAAAAAAGCAGAATGGAAGCCATATTTATTTGATTATTCAGATAAACCTTTTTTTTTCACAAGATTAAAAAATGTAACATTTTCGTATGATTGATGAGATAACGACAATCTGTTTCTCGGAAATAATGCTGGAGATAGCTGTAATAAAGTCGATGGAATCATCACGTGAAAAGACAAAATCGAGTCATCTGATCAATTGTACAATAAAAAAAAAAAATTACAGATTCATTATCAACATATCAAAAAATTTGTTTTCAGATGCGATACGATACGGATTATGATAAAAATCGGATAAATCGGATAAAGCAGGAATATATCGATATTCGGTGGAAACCGTTATTTATTATGTAGTAGCGATAGTAAGTGGTTAATGCTATTACTATACTTAATATACTTAATAATATAATTGTATCTTAATAATATAATTGTATCTTAAAATATAATTGTATCTTAAAATATATTTGTAATTGATACATTACATCATAAAATGGGAATCTCTGGAATTATGTCAAAAATCCACTTAGTGTATGTATTCACGTGTTTTGCCACAAATTTAATATTGAATATTTAATATTGAAATTTAATATTTAATACGTATTTAATATCGATATTGAATATCGATATTGAATATTGAATATTTAAATACGTATTGAATTGTATTGAATTGGATTGAATTGGATTGAATTTTAATATTGAACTTATTTCAAATTTAAAATCATCATATCTAAGATTAGATTTTCCTTTCTTGGAGATGAACACTTTAAGTGCGTGCATTATCTTACTTCATAATCGCTGTAATTTCGTAATCTCTCTGTAGTTGCTAAACTGCCGTACGTAATTGGTTTAAATTTCGTAATTGCCGTGCTATGGAACGTCATTTTTATCGCCAAGTTACGATCATATTTTATATAATATTTATAAAATATTTTTATAATATTTAATATGTTTATTAAAGATTTGGCAGATAACAAATTGAGTCACCGATTGTCCGATTGTCCGATTGTCCGAATATTTGGATATTACATAACTCAAATTCTACTTTGGTTTTGGATCAAATGCATCTACAACATAACAATATCTGTTCCTCCTCAAGATCTCATTCAACAATTTTATCAATCTAAAACCACGCGACCAAAACTTAACTTCTTTTTTTGATTAAATAAGTGGTTGATCATTTATTCTGCCATTTTCTTTCTCGTGATAAAGATAATTCTTCTAAATGAGG